CCGCAGCCCCTTGTCTCTCTTATCCTCTATCATTTATGTTTTCTTCGGACTGTTGTAATGGATTCCGTACTTTGTAGACCTATAGCAGATTCTGTAGTAGCTCATGACTTGTGACACCCCGGTTTGGGCTGTGTCGGGATGGTTCCTGCTGTGGTTAACGTTAAAATTCCGCAATTTATGAGTATTATATTATATGTTATTACTGTTTATGATGATTAACTGTTTAAAAGAGGTGTTCCGTTTTGGTTTGGTTGGCCTTGTCTTCACGAGAGGCACCATCACGACCGGGTTCGGGAATTGGGTCGTGACATATTCACTAATATTGGAAGCTTTTCAACATATGACCTTTTTTTTTTACAATGGAAAAGACTTAAATTCACTCATAAACTGAGTGCAAATAGTTTGGCATACCACTATGACACTATATACAATCGAATCTCTTTATAACAATCATCCTCTATAATAATATTTTACTATAGTAGCCAACTTCTCTTTAATCAATTGCTCATATTATATTTTAACCCTCTATAACCACATTTTACCTATAACAATAGTGATAATCATTATTACAATACTTTGTTTTTGTTGTAAAAATTACCCCTCGATAATAACTCTACTCAAATATTGATTAATCTTGCATTTCACTGTAATGATCCTAATTCTGATTAATTATAGTAAAATTTTCAAAATTACTATTAATTGGTTGAGATAGAAGATTCAAATTTTAAGCTTGTAGACTTATCTTCTCCAATTGATCAAGTCTTATATTACTAGAAGTAATTGAAATCTCGAAAACAAACTACACTTCTAAGTTTTTTTCCATTAAATTTGAATTTTTTTATTGTACAATTAGTTTTCAAATACGTATGCGTTGGAGAATTTAATTGTTTGAAGGTACATTAAAACTAGTTACAATCAGAGGCGGAGCTAGGGTTTTAAGTTTATAGGTTCGGGATTCTAATATTTTTAAACTACTGGGATCTAAATAAATAAGAAAGAATTACAAGAAAATACACACGACTTCACACCATAACAAAAAATGGCCCATGTTTTTAAAGTTTACCCGCTATACTCAGTTTGTATAGAATTTGAAGGAAAGATTTTAATTAGTAACCTAGTTTTCTTTTTCCATACACGCCCAAAATGCTCTCTCTCCATGTGCCTCTTCATTCTCTATAGGCCATCATCTTCTATCCTCTATATTTTTTTGATCTATCTCCCATATTCATCTTCTATCTTCTATAATTTTTAAATCTATCTTTCATCCTATCTTTTCTCCTCTCTAATTTCCAGATCTAATTTTCCTTAACTTTTTTTAATTCTCTCAAACTTTCCTAATGCAAAAAGATGAAAGTCTCGAGTAAGATGAAGAATATGAATTTAGTTGTTCATTTGAAAGGATTGAGGAAGAAAATATTTGACCCATTAATGATTTAAGTAATTTTGATTGATAAATCTCTGAGTCTCTTATTGTGAGCATTTGGTATCGAAATATAAGTCCCAAAAATTATAATTACGCCACTGATGAAGCTAAAGTTTTCAGATCTAGAAGTTTTCATTGTGAATTGGTGCTTCAATCCAGATGGATATTGACTAATAATAGTATTATTGATCGGGTGAGACAAAATTTAATAATTTGGGATTCATCTAGACCTATCTTGAGCAGATTGGTTCTTCTTCTTCTTCTTCTTCTTCTTCTTCTTCTTCTTCTTCTTCTTCTTCTTCTTCTTCTTCTTCTTCTTCTTCTTCTTCTTTTTTCTTGTTCTTTTTGATAATATTGGTGTTAAAACAGAGGTGTAGTGATGGACATAAGGTATTTTTCAGTGCATATACTATATAACTGGTGTTTATACACACTTATACAAATATTGTATAATTATGTATAAAATAGGTATAAGTGTGTAGATTTGTGTATAATGATGTATAAATATATTTGCCACAGGGCAACACACTAAAAGGTGGCAACGACCAAAAGCGTAAGAGCCACTATCGCCAGCTTAAAATTTGAAAACTTGAGGGTCAAAGTGAACTCGAGTCGTAACCCGATTCGGAGACCGGATCCAAAATAGTTAACTATACATGCCTAAGGGTATAACATAAGAGCCACTGTGGCCAGCACAAAAAAAAAAACTTAGGGGTCAATTGAGCTCAAGTCGCAACCCGACTCGGAGACTAAACCCAAAATAGGTAAAGTGCAAATGCCCAAGGGCAAGGCATAAGAGTCATTGTCGCCCGCCCATGCAGAAACAAAAACTTGAGGGTAGAGTAGGCTCGAGTCAAAACCTGACTCGGAGACTAAAACCCAATTCAATGTATAAAGGTGTATATACATTATTATTGTATAAGAGGTCTTGATGAAAGTTTGACACTTTTTTTATATGGTAAATTTTGTGTTGAAATAAAGGTTTAATGATGGCTGGAAGTTTTTTTCTAGTGTAAAATATGCATGTTGAATTTATGTACATTTAGTGCATATGTTGTATACTCATACATATGTTTATATATATATATATATATATATAATAACAATATACTCCCTTTTTTGGTAAATTTCGGATAAAAATAAGTCAAAGAGAGGGGAAAAAGTAAGGATTTAAAACCACGTGATGACTTGACATTAATCTGGAAGAGAAAAAAAGAAATAGGAGAAATAAAAAAAAAAAGGAAAGAGATCATTATGAGATTGATGTCAGGCGATAATGTCAGTCAGGCAATGGTGTTAGAGGGCTTCATTGGCTATACGGATGAAAACTTAAAATGGTGGCTATGCGGATGAAGAGCACATATGTGGGCTGTACTTATGTGAAATTATCCCAATTAATAACTTATATATATTTCATAAATTTTTAAAGATAAATACAGAGTTCGAACTAAAACTATTGGGTTCGGCAAACCCGCTCGTGACACTCTAACTCCGCCCTTGGTTACGATCACAATCATTAACAAGAAAGTGTAGAAATTGCAATAATATTTTAGCAACAACAATTATTTTATTGCTAAATACTAGTAATTGGCAACAACTTTATTTAGTTTTTTTGGTACATAATAAAATTTTTACCCATAAGTTTTTTCTTATTGCTAAATATTTTGATCTTGTCGCCCTATTTTTGTGGTATTATAATAAACTTAAAATATTAAGTAAATTGGCAATAATATGTTTCCGTTGTTGGCCAATATTTCTATTGTTAGCAAAATATCTAATTTTCTCAATAACTTATTTGGTTTCTGCACTATAATCATTTTTTATTTTTTTCACAAAAAGCTTATGCGGCAAAATTTTCCTCGTTTTCCTCTTTTGGCCTAACCCCTCCTTTTTTTGTTCCAAACTTCCCAAATTTCAACGCTTCAGAGCTGCTAAGTAGGAACGGAACGATGATCGGCCTTCCCTCAATCGACATTAGGGTTTGAAATGGTAAGCTTCTTCAACTCTCTCCAGTTACAGTTATTCAAGCTTAGGGCATTGATTTCTCATGTAAACATACAGAGCTTAGGGCTTTCCGCAATTTGAATGCGTCGTCCCTGGAGAGACGAACTTAATGACTTAGAATGCTAGATCTGAGAATTCTCAGAATAAATCATCTATTTAATATCAAAATTAGTATTTCTAATATGTGTTTCAATATAAAAAGGACCGACTTTTTTCAAAGTATAAGTAGGCTACGACATAACCTGCTTTGGAGGGTATCACAAAAACGATAGAGCTTCGCGGTGTAGATCCCTTTGACGCCATTTTCACGATAGTCATGTTTCTCTTTTCCTTCAAGTGAGATTCCTTTCTACTTTCATCAATACTCCTAATATATTATTCTCTTGACTAGTTATCTTGTTCAATTAAATTCTTCCAGTGCTACATTAAAGAGTTACCATTCCATCAAACCAAAAATTAGGGCTTGAAACTCTAAGCTAGTTTTATTTAAGTTTCAGTTGTTTTACTGGTAGGTTACATTTTGGAAAATAGCAAGTTTTGTCCTAATTCTCATGGGTACACTCCCTCCGTTAGCATATTCAATACGAGTTTCAGTATATTAGAGTAATGTTTGGAGGTTGATGCCTTGTTTCCAAGTTGGTCTTTGCTCTTTGATCGTATTTATATGTTTCTAATACCTTACTAGATTCATCTTCAATGACATATTTGTTGGGAAGAGTAAGGATTTAGTGACACTCTCAGGAACTCTATTAGAGGTAAGCTCTAAATATGAACTTGGAGATGAATTCCTATTCAGATTCGTATAGAAGTTGATCAAATTGTTGTAGAACATTGGCAGTACAAAATATTGGTCTTTGATTCATTTCTTTGAAGTTTCTTTATTTCTTCATTTCAAATGTATTCTGAAAGTTCTTTAGTGGACTATCTTAGTACTTCAGTTTAAGCAATATGCAAAACTATTTTCCTTACTTGTGGTATAGATAATATTATAAGAATGCTTGCATCTTGTGTTGTGTAGTATTATAAGTATAAACATACATGTTCGATATCTATGTTGGTATGAAAAACCTAAGGTTATGCATTTCTTGGTAATAGAAAGCATAGTTTACTTTTAATGGTCTCTTGTGTATGGTGATGTGGATTTTCAAGTTAATGTCCTTGGTGATGCAGTCATCTGGTGTAGAATTTTATTTTCCCACCAAATTCTCTGAATTTAGGCAACTTCTATTGAACTTGACAAGCTTTTGTTTGGGACACATAGAAGTGAATGAAGTTTTTATTGTAGAGATGTAGACCTTCTGTCACCTTTGTTCACCTTGTGTAGCTAATTTTAATGTATTAAAATTGAAGTCAAATAGGTTCAATTGAATTCGGTTAAAATTTTATATTCCACTCGATAAAGCACTTTAGTATTGTTTATCTATCTGCTATATCATTTTTTAATCTGAAAGTTCCTTTATGTTTTCGTGAATTCCAGTATATCTTGTGATGTTTGTTTATGGGACTGACCTATGGACATATTGAGAATGAATATGATTAGTAAATTTATTATCAGCTTCCAACTACTGTTGATTTCCATTTTCTAATCGTTATGTTGTTCTTGTTATTATCAGCTTCCAACAAATCTGTTTTCTTGTTCAACATTTTGGGGTCAACTGCCACCTAATTTTTCTAACTCTCGAGTAAATCAGATATATTTAATACAACTTACTATTTTATAGATTATTGTATTTAATTTCATATAATATCCATGATTGAAGGATTGATTAGATTTTATAAATATATAATTATCAAATAATTGCTAAATACATGTAGTTGCTATTATAAGTAGAAGAGGAGGCATAGAAATAACACTGAAATATTTCCAATGCCTTTAAAACTGACAACTGTTGTAAGGGATTAACAAAATTCTATTTCTTTTTCTTTCTCCTAATTTTGAAAGCTGGATGTGTTCATATGTCTTTTTGACCTTCGGATTGATGGAAATAATTTAGCTATTTTCACTTAGAAAGAAAAAAAAATGATGAAACCCAACTAAAACTACATTTGCTACATCTTTAGTGACAAGCTCTTTGTGTTTTGCTCATTTGATGTTTGGATACAGAGAATAGAGTTGGTAAAATCCGAAACTGTCTTCCTGAAATTACAGTGAACCCTTGGGACAGTAAATAAGAATTGAAATGTTAGGTATTAACATTATAGACAACATCATTCACGGACTAGTATAATATTTCAATGGTGTCATGCATAAATGAGTCAGGAAAGAAGACTTGAATTCACAAGCAATTGTCTGCTAGCTTCTTGATAGAAAAGGCCATTTGACTGCTTAATATGTGTTATCTTAATCACAGGTGTATGTTACACAAGTGAGTGCCTTTTTATTTTCTGAAACTTCTATCTTCTTTTTTTCTATCAGTAAATTGAATGAACGAGGATAAAAATAATACTATATATAATTGCTCTTTTAATTCACATCAGGTTTGATTCTAATATGAGAAAGCCTACAAAGATTACTTTTTCATTTTTATAGTTAGTAGTTAAGAAAATATTGATAGAGTTTATGCTGCCAAATAGAGTAGTTTGTGGATGTAAATTGTGATGATATACTAAGAATTGGTAAACTTTCACTTATGTTAAAGTTGTAATGATAAAGTTCAATTGTAATTTAGAAATTACTACTAATATATATGATCCATATTTTTTTTACATTATAAAAAGTATTTTGATTTTTTTTTTTTTATAAATAGATGCAGATTCAACTTAAATCAAGGAAGGTTGTGCAAAAGCTAGATAAAGGTCTCAGAGAAATAAAGAAGTTTTTAGGAGAAAGATGATTTTAGAGATCCTAGTTGGTAAATGGACGTCAGGCAATTTCATCAAAGAGAAAACAAGTGGAAGGAACTCACAAAAGAGGAAAAAGTTGCAACATTGATTAGATTGCATAGTACTTTTCAAGATAATCAAATTTTTATTGTAGAATATATTAGTTCATCATAAATGCGACAAAAAATAGTCTTTGTCCCAAATTGCCTCATCAGTAATACAATATTTTTGACTATTGAATTATCTTTGTATTTTTTTTTAGAATTGTAATGGTCACTAATCATGACGATTTATATTTACATTTTTGTTTTGTCGCTAAAATTAATATTTTAGTGACGAGATGATACTTTTTACTACAAAATTGTAAACCTTATTTATAAAAGCAAATACGTCGCTAATTTATACATTTAGGGACGAAATACTTTTTTGTCTATAAAAGGTATTTTTTAGTGACAGAATTGTGATTGTTCAACTGCAAAATATATATAACTTTAGAGACAATTTATGTTGTCACTAATGAAACTAAATAATTAGTGACAAAGTAATTTTGTCAGCATTAATAACCTTTTTAGCGATGAAGGTGCACTTTTAACTACGATTTTTATACTTTTTATGACGAACAAGTTTGTCATAAATACTATCACTTTGGGGATGAAAAAGGATTTCGTAGTTAATATAACTCTATTTAGCGACGAAACATAAAGTTGTCTATGTATATTATTAGTGACGGTGTTTTAGAAACAAAAGATTGACAAAACAAATTTTGTCACAAAAGATATGAATTTTAGGTGACAAAATAATTCATCATTGATAATCGAATTTGTTGTAGTGTAGCTTGATGTACATACATACATAGACACAGACATTACATACATACACACACACATTGCATACACAACACACACACAGAGCTCACACTCAGTCGGAAAGGATCAGATATCATTTATATTAGCTATAATATTGCTATAATTTCATGGAGGATAGAAATTACCAACTGTGTTTCACACTTGAAGACTTGGATAGCTGAACCAGAAGAGGAAATAATGTTACCAGATCTCAAATCCTGCAAAATTGAAGCATGTCAGAATAATTTTATAAAGGAAATAAACAAAAATAATCATAAAATATTTATTAAAAAAGGCATTATCACTCACTCAAAAAAGTATATACTTAAAAGAATTTCAAAATTTTCTTATTTAATCATCTGCTTCCATCCAGTCCCAATCAATATCATCAAACCCATCCTCCATTTCTGATGTTTTCCACCATTGTATCATGTGAATTTTGTGCATCAGATGAAGAATCAATAATATCAATGGGTACGTCTTCTCTTGACTATCTAATGTCAACATCAAGTAATCTAGATGAGGAACCAATGCCATTATTAGGTTCCCTCCAAAATGTGTCTTCAATATTAGGACAATTCTCTTCCTCTAGATCATACCAATCAACAGGTACTTTGCTCCTCGCATAATAAAAATCTTTCTCAATTGGATCCTCCACATAAAAAACTTGATAAACTTATGATGCCAACACAAAAGGTCATCTCTACTATATAATCTATTGAAGTACACTCGAGTTAACCCATAATTATCTATTTCATTACGAAACCAATCACATCTAAATAGTAAAATACTAAAACAACCCCAATAATCAATCTCAATGATATCCTGAATTGCTCCATAATAGATAACCTCACCATCGATGGAATTTTGGTCCCTAGAACTAGCAAAACTATATGTTGTTGCCAATAAAGTCACTCCACTATTTTGAGTCTTGCATCGGAAATCCCGTTCTTTGGTATGAAATCGGTATCCATTATTAAAATACATCGTATATCTTTTGGCTACCATATTAGGTCCTTTGGCTAGCCATCTTAAATAATCTAGCACAACAATATCTTTAACTTTCTCTTTAAACCAATTGCTGAATTTCCGACTGTGATCCCTCGCTCTTACCCATGCATTTGATCTACTATGAATAACAATTAAATTCTTATATTCCCTACAATGAAGAACATTTCAATTTTAATCATATAATAACAAAATTATATAAATATAGATAAATATTTATATAATTTATCTTACTCGATAAACTTGTCCATTTGTTCATCTCCAGTATTGAACAGAGCATATCGATGTGCTTCAAAGCATAACTGCGAATCCATGAGAAAAGTATTTTTTTTTCTTACTTCTAATTGGATAGCCTATATTAGGGAATATAGGTGACAAATTTTGAGAGCACTCATCATCCATAGTTTGGTACCTACTACATTTTATCTTAACGCCATCATGTAGATATCTCGAATAAAAAGTCAAGCACTCATCGGCCACAAACCCCTCTGCTATTAACGCTTCTGGACTAGATCGATTATGTACAAATGCCTTGTACTTACATAGGTTCCTCTAAATGTGATACATCCAACGGAGATGAGCCAGACCCCCAGCTTAATTTTATTCACCAAATGAATAGGCAAGTGTGGCATTATGTCAAAAAATGTTGGATGGAAAATCTTTTCAAGATCACATGTTATTTCAACAATTTCAGACTGCATTGTTTCAAGATCTCTTCGCCTTATGACCTTACTACATATAACTCTAAAAAAATTTCCCAACCTAATCAAGGCCAATAAAACATTCTTGGACAACATTTTTCTAACAATAACCTGGAGCAAGTAATGCATTATAAAATGAGCGTCATGACTCTTGTACCCTGATATTTTCATCTCCTTCACTTGCACGTGTTCTGAAATATTCGAAGCATACCCTTTTGGTAATTTAGCATTTTTTATGACAGTACAAAATAAACCTTTCTGTTTTGGTTCCATGTAGAAACAAGATTTAGCCACACTTATAGTTCCATCATTATTTATTCTTGGGTGTATTTCGTATCCCCATTTCTTGTAAGTCATAGCGAGATTTTTCATGATCCTTTGATTTTCCATCTATTTCTAATAAAGTCCCAAGAAAACTATCACATATATTTTTCTCGATGTGTATCACATCAAGATTGTGCCTCAATTTGTTATGCACCCAATATGGCAATTCAAAAAAAAATGGATCTCTTTTTCCACGGACCTTTATCACTCCGAGGCCTTTTTTAGTGCTCTTTCCAAAGATATTGTTGAATTCAAGCAGCTCTTCAAACACTTCTTCACCTGACAAAGGAGCAGGTGTAGGTCTATGCTCCTTCTTACCATCAAAAGACTTCTTATCTCTTCAGAATGTATGATCACGAGGCAAAAATCTTCGATGGCCCAAACACATCTTGTGACTATGTTTGAGATATTGAGAACATGTGTCATAAGTGCAAGTGGGGCATGCTAATCTCCCCTTAGTGCTCCATCCTGAAAGTATTGCTAATGCTGGAAAGTCACAACTGTCCATAATAAGGCGTGCGCATTCAGAAAGATTGGTTCGTTTCAGCATCAAATGTGTCTATCCCAGTTTCCCATAGCTCCTTCAATTCTTCAATTAATGGACATAGGTACACATCTATATCATTTCCGAGAGATGATGGACCTGGAATGATCATAGACAACATTATATACTCTGGCTTCATGCAAATCCACGGTGATAAATTATAGTTCATTAATATAACAGGCCATGTGCTATGAGAAATGCTCATGGTCCGAAACAGGTTGAAACCATCACTTGAAAGACCCAATCTAAAATTTCGAGGATCTCTAGAGAATTCTGGGTGCAAAGAATCAAAAGCCTTCCAAGCTTCCCCATTAGCAGGATGTCTTATATTACCATCATTTGGTGGTTCATTAGCATGCCATCTCATTGCAGCGGCTGTTTCAGGACACATGAATATCCTCTGAAGCCTAGGCTTTAAAGGAAAGTACCTTAAAACCTTTGCAGGGATTTTAGATCTTGCTTTAGTCAAAGGACTAGCACTCTTCCATCTTGAAGGCCCACACATAGAGCAAGTATTGGCATTTGTATTTTCTTTCCAAAATAACATGCAATCATTAGGGCATGCGCTGACTTAGTCAGCCTATCAACAATGACCCATACTGCGTCGAACTTCCTCCGAGTCTGCGGAAGCCCAACAATGAAATCCAAAGTGATCCGCTCCCACTTCCACTCGGGAAACTCAATCCTCTAAAATGAACCACCGGGCCTCTGATGCTCGTACTTAACCTGCTAACAATTCAATCACCGAGCCACATATGCAATGATATCCTTCTTCATTCTCTGCCACCAATAATACTGCCGCAAATCCTAATACATCTTCGCGGCGCCCGGATGAATAGAGTACCATGAGCTATGGGCCTCCTCTAAAATCAACTCTCAGAGTCCATCCACATTAGGCACACAAACTCGACCCTGCAATCTCAAAACTCCATCATCACTTAAGGTAACCTTCTTGGCACCTCCGTGCTGCACTGTGTCTCTAAGGACACACAAATGGGGATCATCATATTGCCGATCACGGATACGCTCCAATAATGAAGAACGAGCGACTATGCAAGCTAACACACGGCTGGGCTCAGAAACATCCAACCTCATGAACTGATTAGCCAAGTCTAAATATCCAAAGCAAGCGGTCTCTCACTGACCAGAATATAAGCAAGAATGCCCATACTGGCTGACTTCCTACTCAAAGCATCGGCCACCATATTGGCCTTTCCCGGATAATATAAGATGGTGATATCATAGTCTTTTAACAACTCCAACCACCTCCTCTGCCTCAAAATCAACTTCTTTTGCTTGAACAAATACTGAAGACTCTTGTGATCCGTGAACACCTCACATGCCATGCCATACAAATAATGCCTCTAAATCTTCAATGCGTGAACAATGGCTGCCAACTTCAAATCATGAACTAGGTAGTTCTTCTCATGAATCTTTAAATGCCGCGAAGCATAGATAATGACCTTGCCATCCTGCATCAACACTGCACCAAGTCCAATACGAGATGCAACACAATAAACTGTATAAGGCCCTGAACCTGTGGGCAAAACAAACACTGGTGCCGTAGTCAGAGCTGTCTTGAGCTTCTGAAAGCTCGCCTCACACTCCTCCGACCATCTGAACTGGGTACCCTTCTGGGTCAACTTGGTCATCGGGGCTGCGATAGATGAGAACCTCTCCACGAACCGACGATAGTAGCCGACCAATCTCAAGAAACTCCTAATCTTTGTAGCTGATGCTGGTCTAGGTCAGTTCTTGACTGCCTCAATCTTTTTCAGATCAACCTGAATACCCTCTGCTGATACAACATGACCCAGAAATGCAATTGAACTCAACCAGAACTCACACTTCGAAAACTTAGCATACAACTGACTATC